AAGAATTAAAAGTGTAGATTGTTCCATCAGGTAGTTCCGTTCTAATGATTGAGAGAAGAATGTACTAGTTAATCATGAATATTAATAATAATATACTCTATAAGATTTTCTGCTTCGCCTAACCACAGAAATTTAACTCCCTGCTACCTTAACAACAAAGTATAATCAAATGCCAAAATAAAAAGTATAAAAGTTGTACTCAAATCACAATAAAACGGAACAGTGTCACACCGCCTCTTAGCTGTGTAGTCGACTGTCTCCTGTGCCGACGCCTTGCCCACCTGCGGAGCCCCCTGGATCCTGTCGTGGCTGGACCGCGACACTCAGTTATTATTTTCTTGATGATACTCAATTCTTCAAAATGCAATCTAGACCCGAGGGGAGGCGAAAAAATGGTGTAGATGATAGAGGCTCTGTTCATCCCTCTGGTGACCAAATCAAAGTTGTGACAGAAACAAGAGCAGCAGCAAGAAAAAAATCACCTGGGATCTAGATGAACAATCCATACAACTAGAGAGAAATCCAAGAAAGCACCCTGCAATGGCAGAAGGTAGGACGGGGCGAGGATGTGAGGCTGCCAGGTCTGGAGCAGCTGAGTGAGAGGGAGGCTGTGGCAGCGGCAGGGACCGCGTCCGTGAGTGGATTTTCGTGGTGATGGACCTGTTCTCTCTGAGCACCAGTGCGGATTCGGCTACACACAGAAGGCACCAGAGACTTACAGGGAGGCATCGTTGAACTGAGGGCTGAGGGGAGACTCTGTACAGAAGTACCGGCGGTATCCATTGTTCTCTACTGAGCCCTCCCTGCTCCCAGTGCACGGACACAGCACTGCCATAACTGAGTTGTCATCAAACTGGATAACAGAGGTCGCTCTGCCCAGAGGATTCCCTGAACCACCTCCCCCAACTCGCAGCCCCACCCAAGCCACATCCGCATAAATCCTCAGTGAATCAGGTGCTCCTTGCTGTGCAGCACCTAGACTCACACTGGAGGCAGCTGGCCTCGGTTTCTGGCATGGATGAATCTTAACAGGTCCCCAGAGAGGCAGAGGCTTGGGCTAAGTTTGGTCTGCAGCTGAACCCCTCTCAGGACTGTGCCACTGGACACCTACTACACAAATCCATACAAATTAGACCGGAAGACTTAGGAGCTTTGCTTAGTACATAGAAACAGACATAGAAAGGCAGCCAAAATGGGAAGATAAAGAAGCAGAAACCATATGAGGGAACGGAACAGAGATCCAGATATAATGCAGCCAAGTAATCTAACAGATGCAGAGTTCAAAACACTGGTTATAAAGATGCTCAATGAACTTTTGGGAAGCCTAGATAAATTCAGTGAGAACATCAACAGAGAGATAAAAAACATAAAAATGGAAATGGAAATTATAAAAGGGAACCACTCTGAAATGAAGAACACATACATTATCTGAGACGAGAAGTATATTAAATGGAATAAACAAAGGAATAAAGAAAGTGAATAAAGAAAAGGATCAAATGACCTAGAGGACAGGAAAGCCAAGGACACACAATCAGAATGGCAAGAGATAAGATGCCAAGACTACAAAAATAATTTAAGGAGCGTATGGGACACTATTAAGGGTCCAAATATCCATCTGATCGGTGTAACTGAAGAAAATCAAGATGTTGAACAGCTGTTTGAAGAAATAATGATGGAAAACTTTCCTAACCTGGTGAAGGAAATGGACATAAAACCCCAGGAAATTCAAAGAATCCAAAAAATCAGGGATCCAAAGAGGCCCACATCAAGACACATCATAATTAAAATGCCAGAGTTTAAGTACAAAGAAAGAATATTAAAAGCAGCAAGAGAAGAACAGATAGTTACTTATAAGGGCACACCCATAAGACTGGGAGCTGATTTCTCAAAAGAAACTATGCAGAACAAAGGGCTTGGAAAAAAATTTTCAACAGGACGAAGATCCAGGATCT